TGTAATCCTCGTGTGTCCTCCATGATCCAGACTGTAAACACACACAGATGGAGAGAATGAGCTGTTTAGTTTCCCCCTCAGCTAATAAGCTAAAGCTAGCACTGAGCTGCTCAGCTACACGCTCCAAACTCTTGAGCTAAAACACACAACACTTGTTGGTTGAGCCGGGATGCACAATGAATGTAACACAGTGCGTTCTTTTCCTCTGCTGTTGGTGAAGCGAGCGCAGATACTGCTCATGTTGATGGAGACACCCTGCTGCAACATTCATTTATTACAGTGATCACACTTAGCTTTGCCATCGTTCTTCAGCACATGCAGCCTTTGAGCACATGTTGCAGTCCATCTCTAAACTATGTTCAGATTATTAAAGCTGCTCGCCAGCGCCCAAGTTCCTGACAGATAAGCAAGTGAAAAATACACATGTGTACACAGAGAAGAGGAATCCAGTTGTTGATTTTAGAACAAGAGTCTGAACATTAATCCAAGTGTCTGATTCCAGAATCGGAATCCATCTTCAATCCCCAACCCTATTCCTGACCTGATATTGTAGGATTCTTCAGCAGAAATGGAGGAAGAAGTTTCTCTGCTCAGCTCAAATGCTGAAACTGTACAGTGTGTCCCGCTTAATGTCACTGTAACTGAGCCAATACACTCCAACATTTACAGAGGAGATTCATTTCACACTCAATGATTTGCTCTTCATAGACATGACTGGAATACTCTACAAGCTGTATCTTCTGTCTGTCCTCACCCCATAACCCTCACAGAAAACTGAAGCTGATCACAAAAGAGCTTTCTAGTGTCTTTTTAAAGCCATTCAGTGTAAAAGCACAAGGCCATTGATGCTCCACATACTTGAGTTTGTCCAGTGTGTAGTTTGGATCCTCCAGTTGTTCAGAGAGCAGCTTGACTCCTGAATCTCCTGGATGATTGTAGCTCAGATCCAGCTCTCTCAGGTGTGAGGGGTTTGAAGTCAGAGCTGAAGACAGAAAACCACAGCCTTCCTCTGTCACCATACAGCCAGACAATCTACAAACACAGCAATAGTCCACATCACACAGTTGGACAATCACACATCTCTTTGTGTTGTGAAGATGCTGACTGCTGTTTCTGCTCATGTCAACAGCAGTGATAAACACACACATCCTGATCAGCTCTCCTTATTGATCGAGCCCTCGCATCAGCAAACACACACACACACACACACTCACACACTCAACAAGGACTCGACATCATCTGTAGAAGTGTACAGAGCAAAGACATTGTTCATAATACACCACATCAAGCTGTAAAGTCTGCTGTGAGGAGAAAGAAGACACACTTGAGCTCAGAAGATCATCTTAAAGTCATGTATAAAACACAACAGGAAATGAGCTGATTTCATCATTTATATTGTGATTCTGTTGTGGATTAAAACAAAATGAGCTCAGACAAACACAAAGCCGCTCTCTTCATGTGTTCATCACCTGACCCACAGTCACATTCAAACTGATGCTCCATTAGGGGACTTTTATTCTGTCAGGAGAGAAACACCTGATCAATATTCATGACTGCTGACTCTCCTTCACATTCAGCCTTTACCAGATATTGTTTTAGATGAGCGAGTAATCAGGATTATTTCACACACTTTATCATGAGACTTTTATTTGTTTTCAAGAAACTGAAACTGCACAAATATGAGAGCAGCTCAAACCTTCAGCAGGACACAAAACAGCTTGACTTTAGCGTTTAACTCTGCTGCTTTCACACCTCCAGATCCACTGTTCTGCTCTGAAACAGGATTAACACTGCTATAATGTTTATTTGTGTTCTTGCTGCGCTTCACTTTCACACAGAAATGTTGAATGTCGACATCCACAGACAGACACAACCTGGTAAAAGTTTTCAAACAGTGAACTGAGACTGCAACTATTAGTGAAATCTATATTAAAGCTCTTCAAATATGATTTAGATTTACAGTAATTGTTTTTCATGTTTAAATCTGATTTATTCTTGTGTTTAAAGCGTTTGTCATTCCTCTACTTCAGTGTCTCAGACTCATTCAGAAATGATTATTAAATGCTGGATTAATGCACAAGAGAGTTTGGCGAACACGTTTTACACCATTTCAAATATATATTATATGTGCGGCTGTATAAGTCACATACAGCGCTCAGCATAATGGAGGACAGCCCATTCTGAAAACAAACACTTTCCTCCATTTCTCAGTCAATATAGGCACTGTATTCTGCTGCATTTAAACAGAACACATTTATTAAACAGATTTATTCATGACAATCATATTTTAGTCACCAAACATATTCAGAAATTTAAAGATAATACAATTCAATTCAGGCTAAATATTGCTATTTCTTCCACTGTTTTGCTTCTCTTGTTTTTTCCTCTTTTTTATTTGTATTTAATATTTTTCTATAACACATATATTTGATTTAAGTGCACTAGTTTTTGGACCATTATCCTGAGTTATTTTGTTAGATGAGCTCCAGATTTGGCTAATCTATTGTATATGCACAAATATAATACTGTAGAGCTTCCTATTAAAATATGAATGTAAAAGAGAGATTAGTGAGGGCTGTACTTATATATGCTGAGCACTGTATATTGTTCACCCAGAGTGTTTACATGGTCACACAGCAGTAACACAACAAGCATTGAGTTTGGGCTAGCTTCTGCAGATGGACATTGCTGTACACTACCCTTGATGGGTGAGTGGGGGAGTGTCTGTTGTCTCTCAGGTGTGAATTATTCATGAGCATTGTCACTCACACATACAGCTGAGATCACCCAAAACAACCTTAACAAAATGTAGATCATTGTAATGTTTTCTCTGAATGAGAGCACAGAATAATTTCACATAATTGTGCAGTAAATATTCTAGTCTACAAGACTGCTTACTCTAAACTCTTGTTCAGGCACATTCAGTCTGGTTTTAGATTCGTATTTCAGCTACATTTGTTTCTCTAAAACCTACTAACCACACATAATATTTATTTCTACAAAACAGATGTCAGGGCATGTCAAAACATCTCAGGGGTCCCAAAACCCCTGAGGGTTAACTACAGGTATAGTATGAGCAGTGTGAAACAGAATTACTGATAAACCATAATTCCTGTTATCTGGGGTTTAGTATCACCCAGGGTTAACATGTTCAAGCATGAAAAGCTCTAATATGAAACTGTCTGACTGTAGTTATTGTAGAGTAGAGAATCATTTACCTCAGTGTCTCCAGTTTACAGTTCACAGTCTTCAGTCCATCAGAGAGAAGCTTCACTCCTGAATCCTGCAGGTCATTGTTACTCAGGTCCAGCTCTCTCAGCACACAGTTTGAGGATTGTAGAGCTGAAGACAAACTCTCACAGCACTGAACAGTGAGTTTACAGCACTGTAGTCTGTGTAGAGGACAGTAAAAGACACTGTATTATTGTGTGTGAGTGTGATGTAATTATTGAAGTGTCCATAATGAGTGATTCCTCCTCATAGGGAAAAGGAAAAGACTCCTTTAACTATTCAGAGTTGCTTTAATTGTCACATGGAGGAAGATCAAACATTTGTATTTCATTATTACATAAACTTTATAAAGATGGGCTGAACATCTGCAGAAACACAGCTCATTTAGAGATGCCCCAAAAACACCAAAGAACACCAATCAATGATCATTTCAGCAGAAATTACACTAAAGAGCAATATTATATCTGATATAAACAGGGTTTCTCATATTTGACTTCACATTACATATGAAATATTCACAATAAATAAACAGAAATAAAACACATCACAGCATATGCTCATTACCTCATCAGACTTTACAGCATTTCACAATGGAAAAGTCATTTGTGGCAGCATTTATTTGATGGAAATGTTTTTATTTTACCTCAGTGTGTCCAGTTTACAGTGTTGACTCTTCAGTCCATCAGAGAGAAGCTTCACTCCTGAATCCTGCAGGTCATTGTTACTCAGGTCCAGCTCTCTCAGCACACAGTTTGAGGATTGTAGAGCTGAAGACAAACTCTCACAGCACTGAACAGTGAGTTTACAGTCCTGTAGCCTGTGTAGAGGACAAAGAGCAACACAATCACAGTAAGAAATGAGCAGTGTTGAGTGTTCATGAGTCCAGTCTACAGCGATAAAAGCAACACTGGAAATAAACTATATATATATATATACTGCTCAAACAATAAAGGGAACACTAAAATAACACATCCTAGATCTGAATGAATGAAATATTATCATTAAATACAAGGAGTCACACTCAAAACTGTAGTGAATTACAGGAATTGCTGACATACTACAGACACATGAGCGTTTTCAGAACAAGAATATTATTTCATTTAAATCTGCTCTTTTATTTATTTATTCATTTATTTAATTATTGAAAGTACATTAAACTTAACTAAAGCTGTATTTCCCCATTTATATGACTGTACTGAATTATTGAACAGATTATTAATAACTAATCAGAGAGCATTTTACTGAGCTCAGTGTAAAGTTTAGTGTTTAGGCCTACAGTAAATGTAATATTACAGGCATGTCTGCAGCGAGACGGCAATACTGTGTCTAAAATTACACTATTTCTCTGATCAGAAAACAAACACAATTATCCAAGAGCAACACTGTGTTAGATTTGAGCAAATACACATCAACAAATGTCCTATTCAGCTGGAGGAGCACAGGGATTTACAGGGATTTGAGTTATTTTCCAGGATAAACTGTAAAGCAAATGAAGTAGATTATTAAATAAGTACAAATGTTGTTTGTGTGAGTAAAAAGTCAAGAAAAGTTTGTTAAATACGTTTAGAAATGCTGAAATAAATGAGCAAATAAGGAAACAGAACACTGTCGCCGCGTCCCCATGCAGTAATATGGTGTATCAGCGATCTCACAGGGGGACGATATGGCCAGCTAAAGATTTTCTGTTAAAGCAGGGCAGTGATTCACTAAACTGATCTGAGTCTTCAGTGCAGACTGATGTGTGTCTTCTGTGATCAATCAATGAATACTCACAGAGCTCTTCTGCAGTTTCTCACAGCTGCTGTCAGTCTCTGTTTTCCCTTAGCTGATGTGTTGAATTTATTACAGTCTAACTCATCCAGCGGCTCCTCTGACATCTCAATCATGTAGGAGATTGTTGAGCAGTGAGCAGGAGAGAGTTCCTCCTCTGAGTGTTTGTCTGATTTCACAAACTCCTGAATCTCTCTGGCCAGAGTCTGATCTTTCACCTCCAGCAGACAGAGGAACAGATTGATGGATCTTTCAGCTGAGAGAGGGTCATGTCTCTTCTTCTGTAACCGTCTAATGCGTCTTTTAGCTGAGGGAGGGTCATCATCCCTCTTGATCTCGTCTTTAATGTACTGTGTGATTCTCCTGATGTTCTCTGAGTTCTCCTCTGTGTGTGTCAGCAGATCCTGGAAGAGTCTCTGATTGGACTCCAGTGAGACGCCCAGCAGGAACCGCAGGAACAGATCCAGATGACCATTACTACTCCTGACAGCTTTAACTACTGCTGAACTGAGCAGAACATACAGAGAGTTCTCAGAGCTGGACTGTAGATATTGATTATATGAATATTCTCTCTCATAAATCACCCTCAGCGGTTCTCTGTTCTCTGTTAAATGGCAGTAAAACACAAAGAAAGCAGCCAGAAACTCCTGAAAGCTGAGATGGATGAAGCTGTAGACTTTCCTCTGATGAATCACAGATTCCTCCTTGAAGATCTCAGTGCAGATCCCAGAATACACTGAGGCGTCAGTGACGTCTATGCCGCTCTCAATCAGGTCCTCCTCATAGAACATCACATTGCCCTTCATCAGCTGTCTGAAAGCCACTTCAGCAAGTTTGAGGATCACTCCGCTGTTGGACTGCAAGAGTTTCTCTGGATCTCTCTCTTCATACTTCTGCTTCCTCATGTTGATCTGAATCAGCAGGAAGTGGATGTACATCTCAGTCATAGTTTGAGGGATTTCTGCACTCACATCTTCTTCCAGGAGCTTCTGAAGCACAGTGGAGGAGATCCAGCAGAAGACGGGTATGTGGCACATGATCTGGAGGCTTCTTGCTCTTCTGATGTGGGAGATGATTCTGCTGGCTTGATGCTCGTCGCTGATTCTCTTCCTGAAATATTCCTCCTTCTGAGGCTCAGTGAATCCCTGAATCTCTGTCAGACGCTTGATGTATCTGGAGGGGATCTGATGGGCTGCTGCTGGTCTGGAGGTGATCCAGATGAGAGCAGAGGGAAGCAGATCTCCTTTCAGGAGGCTCCGCATCAACACAGCCACTGATGAAGATTCAGTCACAGCACAAACTTTCTCCTCATCTGAAAAGTTGAGTGTGATTCTGCTTTCATCCAGACCATCAAAGATGAACACAACTCTACACTGCTCATAAATCTTGGGCTCCAGATCTTCAAGTTCAGGATGAAAGTCCAGCAGAAGTCTGTGAAAACTGTACTGATGATCTCTGATCAAGTTCAGCTCTCGAAATGGAAGCACAAACATGAAATCTACATCCTGATTGGCTTTTCCATCGGCCCAGTCCAGAATAAACTTCTGCACAGAGACGGTTTTCCCGATTCCAGCGATGCCTTTAGTGAGAACAGTCTTGATCTGGGCTTTCTCCTTCTCCATCTTCTCCTCATGTCCTGCTCCAGCTGAGGCTTTAAAGATGTCATTGCAGTAGACTGGAGTGTGTTGTGAGGGTTTTGTTCTGCCTCGTTTCTCCATCTGTAAAACCTCATGTTCTTCATTCACTCCTTCACTCTCTCCTTCTATGATGTAGAGCTGTGTGTAGATCCTGTTCAGGAGGGTTTGAGTCTCTCCATGGTTGATTCCCTCAAATAATCTCTCATACTTGTTCTTCATGCTGGTTTGGTGCTGCTCTTTGACTCTCTGGAGTTCATCATGTTCTGGTTGGAGTGAATCCTGCTGCAGGTCTCCAGTCTGATCATCTCTATCCACACTGCAGGAACAACAACAACACAAAGAATCAATGAGTGTGAGGGTAAAGATTCTCTAGTGAAGCCATGTGTGTTTTCTTTGAACCAGCTAAGACACACTACACAGATTTAATCAGATTTAACTTAAACACCACACACTGATCACTTTAAACACCACACACTGATCACTTTAAACACCGCACACTGATCACTGTAAACACCACACACTGATCACTTTAAACACCGCACACTGATCACTTTAAACACCACACACTGATCACTTTAAACACCACACACTGATCACTGTAAACACCACACACTGATCACTTTAAACACAGCACACTGATCACTCTAAACACCACACACTGATCACTTTAAACACCACACACTGATCACTTTAAACACCGCACACTGATCACTTTAAACCCCGCACACTGATCACTTTAAACACCACACACTGATCACTTTAAACACCACACACTGATCACTTTAAACACCGCACACTGATCACTTTAAACCCCGCACACTGATCACTGTAAACACCACACACTGATCACTTTAAACACTACACACTGATCACTTTAAACACCACACACTGATCACTTTAAACACCACACACTGATCATCACTTTAAACACCACACACTGATCACTGTAAACACCACACACTGATCACTTTAAACACCACACAGTGATCATCACTTTAAACAACACACACTGATCACTGTAAACACGACACACTGATCACTGTAAACACCACACACTGATCACTTTAAACACAGCACACTGATCACTCTAAACACCACACACTGATCACTTTAAACACCACACACTGATCACTGTAAACACCACAAATTGATCACTGTAAACACCACACACTGATCACTGTAAACACCACACACTGATCACTTTAAACACAGCACACTGATCACTCTAAACACCACACACTGATCACTTTAAACACCACACACTGATCACTGTAAACACCACAAATTGATCACTGTAAACACCACACACTGATCACTGTAAACACCACACACTGATCACTGTAAACACCACACACTGATCACTGTAAACACCACACACTGATCACACATCTACTGTTCAAAATGCTGTAAACATTTAACAGTGTTTGTCATTTAATAAATGCAGCACTTCAATAATTTAATTTAATTTATTCACAATTATGCTGGATGCTCACTAAAGACATTTAAAATCTTTTAAGATGAAAATGTGAGAGAGCACAAGCATGAGGACTGAAGCTCCTAGATGACCTGTTCAGCTGCTATAGTGTGTAACATGGTAATGTTGTTTCTTTTACTGTATAATTTTCTGTTCTCGTGTTCCTCTGAATATTGTATTCTGCTGTCTGTAGTTCTGAGGGTTGTTGTGATCTTATACTTGTTAAATGTTTTACCATCAATAAGAAAATAATGATTCTCTGTCATCTCTGCTGTCTAAATCTGTCTGACTGAATATAGTTTTTAATTCACATGATAATCTCCAGATCATACAAGTGTTTGCTCTCAGACAATAATAAAGAGAATATCTGAATACAGTTTCATCCTAAATCAATATCTCTCTCGCCCATAATTATTTATCAGATGAAATGTGTCAAGGCTGGACAATAAGGGCTGCCCGATGGCCCGGGGCCAGCATGCGAGACACTCTGGACAGTATTTGTCCGAGATCGCCAGGATGAGACGGTCTCGGTTCAATTGAGCGGATCGATTGTAGTGAGAAAACAAAACGATCCAACAAAGTAACAAACCAGGCTGTATCACAGTGTATTATGAATGTGTAATATTAATTTAGGAAAGTTGACCAAAATTAATCTTATAATATGGTGTATTAATCCTTTTGTTTTGTTCATTTTTGTACTGACACTTTGACAAAAAGATCCACCTTCATCTGCTTCATGATCTAACTGCAGTCAGGCTAATGTGATTATTATGTTGATGCATCAAGCAAGAACAAGAAGTGAAATGTATTTTCAAACTAGGTTTACAAATAAAAGAAAAATACTAAATATTGACTGTACTATAGACTGATGTAATGAGCCTGTTTCTAAACTTAGGCATTTTCAACTAAACCACACATTAAACAATTCACTTTATTTAATCTAATCAGTGTATTTAAATTTAAATCTACTTATTTAATTAAACATATTGTCTGTAAGAACAAGAAGTGAAATGCATTTTAGAACTAGGTTTACAAATAAAAGAAAAATACTAAATATTGACTGGTTAGTATTTGTATTAGGTATTTTCAACTAAACCACACATTAAACAATTCACTTTATTTAATCTAATCAGTGCATTTAAATTAAATGTATTTATTTATTTAAACATATCGTCTGTGAGGGTTACATTCCTGGAGCTCACCTCAGTCACTGTCATTAGTTGTCATAACTTTATTATTATTATTTTCAAATCAATTTAAGGTAATATATGCACATTTCAGAGGCTGTGCACTTTATGGCAGGGGTGCAATTCTTGGCATAACAATGCTTCATCTGTCATTTCTCTCTATATTGTAAGCCTGTAATGCATAATTCTAGCCCACATTTTTAATAGATTAATTAATTCAATAGACAGATTTTTACAAAACTTGACAACTGAAATGAGGCCATGTATGAGAAAATCTGACCGCTCTGATTTGTTTGGTGACGATGTCTGTGGGTGTCAAAATTAAAGTGCACATTTTTGCTTATAATATACATGTCGATTTTTTTCCAAGTTTAGTTTAATCAATTGTAAACAAATCATTTTTAAATTGTCAGTTGTATTTAAAGAAAAGTTATGCTGAACAAAGTGTGAGTGTACAATTATGTTTGGCTTTTGACACTAAGAAATAGCTATTAACTTATTTTTTTGGGTGGGGCCAGTGAACATTTCGGCAGGGCAAGTAAAAATCTGAACCACTGGCCCAATCGGGCCACGAGAAAAAAATCCTTAGCCTTGAACCCTGTGTGGTGTGTTTGTCTCACAGAACTTGTTCATTCATCTTGTCTAAAATCTTTCTTTTTATCATAAACCCTTTGCTGACTATTGTAAAAGCCTGTAAACTCACTCTACTAAGTAACAGTTTGAGTATTAATACTTTCGTCACTTAATACTACTTCAGTACTTCACTAAAATGTCTTGACTGGACTGTGGGAATAAAGCGTAATAATGTCTGATCTTCTAGAAACACAGGATCATATAAATGCTGCAGTGTAATCATGTGTGTGTAGAGATGATCTACCTGACAGCAGGTCGTGTGTTTTCACTCTTAAATGTCATTGGTTGCATCATAGACGCATCACTCTTCATAGACACACAGCTGGGCTCTGCTTCTGCTCTCTTCTGATGAACTGAGCTAAAACAGAGAAGATTAAAGTTGAGCGCTGCCCACACTGCACAAACCTGATATTAATCATTCTTCATTTACAAAAACACTTAAATTAATTTCCTTTATATTTGAACAAAAACTGTCTGAATGTGAAAATATCAGCAAACACAGATCAAGGCTCATTTCTAGTAGAGAAAGCCCAACAGAAATGCAGCACTATTAGAGCAGATTAGAGCTGAAACTAATCATCAAATCACTGAATGAAGTCCACAGTTGAGGTGTGGGAGGAGCTTAATCATCCAGGCGTGTCAATCATCATCACATGACTATAAGCAGCAGTATAAACTGCACTGTGTCAGCTGACTGTTATTCCCGCCTCCAGCAGCTCCACTTATCCTCCTCCTCATCACTCAGTCTTCAGAAGGTCACTCATTGGGGGGTTTGTCTGCAGAGCTCAAGTCCAGACTTTGAGGACAGCAAGACAAGTTCATTTACCATCATCTATCATGACTGAATGAGCAGGAGAACTTAAGAAATATCAATTCTAGAAACCAAATGTGTTGATCAGCAGCATCTATGAGGCCAACACAACATGATGATGACTGCGCTTCAGTGAAAACAGACTCAGATCAGAGGAATGGCTGATCAGTACAGCACAGAAACAGCAGGGGGAAGTGTGCAGGAAAAGCCCTTTATGGCAGGAGATCGGGAACACTTTAGTTTAGCTCACAATTCATACTATTAACTATCGGCTTATTATCTGTGTAATGTGAACATATGAACTGCTCATTAGTAGTCATACAGTATGATCTTATTTTGGATCCCTAACCCTACCCAAAACCTAAACCCACCTTCTACCTCACTAACTATTAATAAAGCGCTGATTGGTTTGTTAACACCATCAATTGTGGCCTGAAGTGTAAAGCGGAGATCTTCAAGCACTATCCTGCAGAGCTCAGATACAACATCTAACATCTGAAACCCAACAGATCCACAACACTAATTACCTGATTCATTTATTATGAAAATACTCATCAGTTGCAGATATTAAAGAGATGATCTACCTGACAGCAGGTCGTGTGTTTTCACTCTTAAATTTTATTGGGTGATCCATAGACCAGTCACTCTTCATAGTCACACAGCTGGGCTCTGCTTCTGCTCTCTTCTGATGAACTGAACTAAAACAGAGAAGATTAAAGTTCAGCGCTGCACACACTGGAGTCAACACACCAGATTTATTCAACATTTCATAATTAAAACACTGTTTAAACAACACATACTTTTCATAATTATTGTACACAAACTTGCTGGCTGTGTGTGTTAAATATTCTGAAAGATTAAAAACACAACTAACAGAGAGTAAATATAATATCCTGTAGAAAATAATCAAATAAAATGTCAAGTGTAGGTCTAATACCTGCATCCTGTAGACAAATCCTGATCTGTGTGTGTGTCCTCCATGATGGACCTGAAGAGTTTGATCTCCAGCAGAAACTCTAGAAGAAACTGATGAACAATCACAGATCTCCAGTCATTGATCAGCCTTCATAATTCAGCTGAATGCAGGAATAGATCAGCAGCTGAGACTCTCAAATCCAGAAGCTCATCACGAGTAAACTAATGAAGAATCACAGCGTTATCAGTTTGATTATAATAACATCATACACACATTCACATAAAGCATACATGTTTGGTCATGACATTAAGGATTTAAAGCTGTTTAAAATGGCGACACAACACACAACACTTTCACTTTCGTTTCTGAAGGAGCGGCAGATCATGAGTTCAGTGATAAACATCCGTCACAAACACTAAACAGAGCAGAGAAGAGTCAAACAGTTGCAGGGTTATCAAAGCACCTGCGGAGTTACATTTTACTTAGAGTGATTTTTACCTGAAGCAGTATAAACACTTGACACAGAGAAGAAAGAACAAACACATACCTGGATAACCTCTTCCTCCTCCTCTTCTTCTTCTTGTGTGGCGAGTTACAGAGAGCAGCATGAAGCTGAATACCGCCACCTGCTTTACTGGAGTGTGTATAATAATGTTTTTTTTTTTTTTTTTTTAAATACTTTATTTATAAGAATTTTTTTCTTTTTTACATTTGCACAAAACAAAAAAACAAAAACAAAAAAAAAAAAGACAAACAATCAACAACAACAAAACAAAATATATAAACAAATATCCCCAACACTACTTTCCCTTTTGTGGCTTTAACAGAAGATATACATAGCTAACAGTCTGCAAACATAAAGTCCTCAAGATATACGATGCACATAAAAAGTGAACAGTTCAGTGTGTGATAAAAGAAAGGTTCTGTATACCTTTATTACAAGCACTGCCATTGTGAAAGGCATTACAAGGTTACAGTGACATGAAAGAGGAATAAGAAAATATAAAAAAAAAAAGGAGGGGGGGGGGGGTCCTTTGGGATTATGAGAGATTTTATATATCCTCCTGCTCCAAAAATTGTAAATGGTCAACGTATGTAAGAAAGGGAGACCAGGTTTTTAAACAAGTATTTTTTGAACCTCTTAGAGTAAATTTGATTTTTTCAAGCTGAATAAAATACATAACGTCTTTAATCCATCAACTATGTGTTGGGGCCTCAGTTTTTTTCCAATACAGAAGAATTAAACGCCTTGCCAGTAGCGTGATAAAAGCAATTACTCTACATATTTCTTCTTTAAGCACAATATTTTCGGGACTGGTTCCAAAAATTGCCAACAGGGGTTCAGGTTCAATAGGAAAACCATACATATCACTAAATGATTGAAAAATATCTTTCCAAAAACCTCCCTAGATTTGGGCAGAACCAAAACATGTGGGCAGTTGTGGCTGGTGAAATTGAGCATCTACTGCATGCTGGACTAACAGTAGGATAGATCTTAGACAATTTTAAATTTGTAAAATGTAACCAGTGAAGTATTTTAAATTGAATAAGGGCATGTCTGGTACAGTGTGATGATGAATGTACTTTATTTAAAATACCATCCCATTCTAAGTCTGTGAAGTCTCTGCTCAAGTCGAGCTGCCAGGAGGTTTTAATATGTTCTAGACTTTGAGGATCAATTGTAAAAATTAAAGAGTATATATGAGAAATTAGTCCTTTACTTTCGGGTTTTAAGTCTAATATTGCATCAATTACTGAGGCAGCAGGTAATTCAGGAAAAGATTTAAATTTTGACTTAACAAAGCTTCGTATTTGCAGAAATCTAAAAAATTGTTTTTGGGCAGAGAAAAATTATGAGCAAGCTCTTCAAAGGAGCAAAAAATATTATTAATAAATAAATCTTTCAGGCATTTATTCCCCTTCTCCTCCCACACCCGGAATGCAGAGTCTGTACAAGATGGGGCAAATAAGCAGTTAGAGGCAATGGGACCTGCAATTGAGAGAGCCTGAAAGCCAAAATGCTTTCTTAACTGTGACCAAATTTTTAATGTATGTACAACTATTGGATTAAAAGAAGTCATATAATTATTTTCTGAAATTGGAAGTGATGCACATATCAAAGATTTTAGAGAAGTTCAGGAACAAGCTCTTTCACCCTGTACCCACAGTGGAATTGACTCTGGGTCCCAAGAAGATACCCAGAACAAAATTTTTGGAATGTTGCTCTCCCAGTAGTAAAACAAAAAATTTGGCAGTGCCATGCCTCCTTGGGATTTATTCCTCTGGAGGAGTGATTTTCTAATACGAGGTGATTTACCTCCCCATATAAAATGGCTTATCAATTTATCTATGTTACAGAAAAACTGTTTTCTTATGAATATGGGTATATTTGAAAAAAGGTATAAAAACCGTGGGAGAACGTTCGAGGTTACTAAAGTAACCCTTCGTTCCCCGAGGAGGGGAACGGAAGCACTATAAGTGGATTTGATTGTAAAATCCACGCATTGGGAAGGTTCGGTTCAGAAGCTACTCGTCTGAAAGAGTATTGAACGGGCCAATTAAGAATGAATTGGCAGCGCAAGCCTGCGCAGGTGAGCGGCATAAGCAATCAACTGAGTATATAAGCTCACCTGGCGCCAGCAGACGCTATCCTTTTAAAGCTGAAGAGACTTTCAACAGCTAAGGGACAGTCATTATGGCGACGGAGTATAGTGCTTCCGTTCCCCTCCTCGGGGAACGAAGGGTTACTTTAGTAACCTCGAACGTTCCCCTTCGGGGGGAACTTTAGCACTATAAGTGGATTTGATTGTAAAATCCACGCATTGGGAGCCCATTGAAAGCGCCATAATGACTGCACCTTACCAACACCCCCGATGAGGAGATAGTCAAGCAAGCGTGACGCACCCACATCATGGGGGGCGCGGTCCTCCAACGTGTCCCTGGCCCTAATTTATCCTACTTCAACAGAAGTTTTACGGATTTATATATATTTTTTGGGAAGTCGTGAGCATCTAGATAATTCTAGGAAAATACGACAGTACGTTGGGAAGCGTGCAATCCCGATAGGGAGGACGCTGCGGAGGCCATCCGTTACCCAAGGGGGGATAGATGGCAGAATTTACATATGGACTAGCCCTAAAAAGGGGGAGTACGCATAGCAAAAGAGTGGTTAGCGGGGAGGGAAGACACGGGTCCGCCCAGGGGGGGGACTTAACCGTGGCGGAATAAGCATATGGGATCGCCTAGTGGGGATCACGCATAGCAGGCACCTTTACCCAAAACGCGGGCTGACCAGCGGGCAGACCTACAACGTAGTGGGCCAGCAAGTGACTCCTCCGCTGAGTCAGTGCTGGGGGCCACGGAGGAATCTGCAGGGCTCACCTGACGGGGAACTTTACTGACAGATAAAAAGGCGCATGTATCTCCGTGTTAGGGAAAATGGCGCAGCAAGCGTGTTTCAACACCCTACCGAATTGTTTCCTCAATCACCAAGGGTTACCTAATACCCTTGAGGAAACCGGCTCCACTCGCAGATTGTAAAACCTTGCAAATGTGTTGGGTGTCACCCAGCCCGCAGCTCTACAGATGTCTGTTAGAGGGGCGCCGCGTGCCCGCGCTCGAGAGGATGCGAAGCTCCGAGTGGAGTGCGCACGCGCTCTCGGGGGACGCGGCTCATCTCGGCTCTGATAGTGAAAGAAAGGCATCCACAATCTAGTGGGAACTTATTTCGGTACGGCACTTCCCTGCTGCCGACCGCTATAACAGACGAAGAGCTGCTCAGATGATCTAAACTCTGAGTGCGGTCCGGATAATACGCAAAACGCGAACTGGACAATAAAAAGGGCTGGGTCTGCCTCCTCCGAGGGCAGCGCTTGCAGGCTCACTACCTCGTATTAAAACGGAGTGGTAGGAACCTTGGGCACATATCGCGGGCGGGGTCTCAGGACGTGAGAGAAGCCAGCTCAATTACAGGCACGAGTCACTGACCGAAAAATGCCTCCGGGTCCCCGACCCTCTAATCGATATCAACGCGACCAGCAGAGCTGTCTTCAGGGACAGAAAGATACTGAGTCGAGGATCGAAGGGATCTGACGTGGCTTGTGTAGCGAGGGCGAGATCCTAAGAGGGCATGAGAGGGGGCGGGGTGGATTAATTCGCTTAACGCCCCTGAGGAACCGGATGATGAGGTTATGCGTTCCCACGGTGCTGCCAGCCACCGCGTTATGAGAGCGGAGATGGCAGCCACGTAACCTTGAGTGTGGAGGGCGACAGCCTGCTCTCCAACTTCTCTCGGCGTAAAGAAAGCACAACGCTGATCTGGCAAATTACGGGGGTCTTCTCAGCGAGAGACACACCATTCAGTGAATAGACTCCACGTCAGGGCATAGGCGAGCTCGGGGAGGGGGCTCTAGCCCGAGTGACGGTATTAGCCACCGCAATCGGAGGTTACCTAAGTCTTCCTCGCGTCTAAAAATCTCCAAAGATCGGCGAGGGTGCCAGGTGGTGCCCTGTCCCTGAGAGAGTAGGTGCTCTCTCGAAGGGACTGCCAGGGGAGGGCTATCGCGAGGGAGAGCTCTGACATCCAGGTCCGGTTGAGCCAGAGGGGCGCAACCAGCAACCTGTTCCTCGTCCTCCCTGACCTTGCACAGTAACTGCGCGAGCAGGCTCACTGGGGGAAACGCGTATTTGCGTGTGCCCCGAGGCCAGCTGTAAGCCAGTGCATCCGTGCCGAGAGCACTCGCTCAGGGAAAGAACAACTGGCAATGAGCGATCTCGGGGGAAGCAACAGATCAATCTGGGCTTCCCCGAATCGCGCCCATATCAGCTGAACAGACTCGGGGTGGAGTCTCCATTCTCCAGGACGCAAGGCTGCCGTGAGAGCGCATCGGCTGCACGGTTGAGCTTGCCTGAATATGAATGGCGTACAGCGATTTCAGCCGCGGATGACTCCAGAGGAGCAGACGGCGGGCGAGCTGAGACATGCGGCGAGAGCGCATACCCCCTATACGGCTGATATACGCCACCGCCGCCGTACTGTCCGTCCTGACCAGCACGTGTTGCCGCTCCAGCACCGGAAAAAAAACGGTGGAGAGCGAGGAACACTGCCAACAGCTCCAGGCGATATGCCAATGCAACTGGGTACCTTTCCACAGGTCCGCAGCCGCATGCCCGCAACGCACAGCCCCCCAGCCCGTGTTGGAAACGTCTGCTGAAACGACAACAAGACTGGACGCCTGTTCTAGAGACACCCAGGCCTGTAGGAACGAGGGGTCGCTCCAAGGGCTGAGGGCGCGGCGACACAGCGCAGTAACAGAGACTCGGTGTGCGCGCGCGTGCCATGCGCGTCTGGGGACTCGATCGTGAAGCCAGTGCTGAAGTGGTCTCATATAGAATAATCCGAGCGGCATGAAGCGGCTGCCATATGCCCCAGGAGCCTCTGAAATAGTTTCAGTGGGACCACTATTCTACTGTCGAGCTCTCTCAGACAGTACAGCATCAGCTGAGCGCGCTCTCCGGAGAGGCGCGCTGCCATGGTGACCGAGTCCAGCTCCAGCCCGAGAGAAGAGATCCTCTGC